TTTCTGTCCCGTGGCTCGCCACACGCAGACCCTATTCTTCGAGTAAGATGATTGCCAGATGTCGATGCGTCTCCGCAGTACATGTTCAGCTAGCCTGAGGGTCCGTCATAAATCTTAAGATTTGGTTAACTAAAGTCCTTCAAACAAACAGTCTTTGTCCCAACTACGAGAAGATAGGGGAGATCTATTTTTTTCAACGAACGACGTCTCCCACTAGCAACTTTCCCTCAAGGTCGGCTAGCATCTTTTTCTAACCATCGATATAGAGATTGACCAATTAGCAGCAGCGCCAATTTCCCTTATTTTCTGAACGAAAGCTTTCCTCGACGAATCCCATATAGTTTTAGACATACCCCATATAGTTTTCCTCTGTGGCATCATGGGGACGGAAATTCATTCTCTCTTGCGATCTCATCGACGAAAAGAGTAACAGTGAATATTACGCGTTTGACTTAGATTTTGTGAACACGTTCATCTATCATCCTGTCGACCGCGGATTCGTTATTGAACCTAGGATCATTGTCATTAGTTTCTCGAGTATCTAATTATCACGGTTACTTGTCCAGTTCTATGATAATCGTATTTGCACTAGTCAATGTCTTCTCTATTGCATAACGACAACGTGTAATCCAAACGAAGATTCGTTTCACGCCCCTAACTCTAAGTCTAATGTAAACCCGACAAATACATACATCCTTATTAAGCAATGTCATAAATGAATTTATTTAGAATTGAAACGAGTGAAAAGGCAAAATGAAAGGAATGATGATTCCCTCATTCATAAAGTTCTATTTATATTTTTCTTGGTTCAAAGAGAAAAAAGTAACGTTCAAATAGTCAGTGCACTAAACATAGTATTATCCATAGCAAAATTATTATACCGGATACTTCGGTGATCTGATGTATCCAGTACAATCTGAAATAACAGAAAATATATGTATTTATAGAAGTTCCTATTTTTTTATACGAAGATACTTTTATACACACCTTGATAATCTTTGTCGGGCTGTTGACATAAATTCTTGTTTTAGAATAAATTTCCTAATTCCCATCAGGTATGTTGCAAAATACTTCTCCCAATTCATATCCCGTAAATCTAGTTTGACCATATCGTTGTCATTCAACATTTTCACCTTCCTGACCAAGTCGGAACAGTTATCTCTTTGGTAAGTCCATTCGTGCAACATAAAGTACTGTAGTGATACGAACATCCTATTGCCACGTTTGAGAAGTTCCATCATTCTGAAATATCATTTTTAATTATTATTATAAACGAAGTCAGAGATTATCCCTGAAAGATAGTTAGTTATTCGTGGATGAGTAGAATACTCACACTGGTTTACTACCTCGGAGTCTTAAAAAGACATCTACGATAAACGCACGCAAAACATGCGGAATTACACTCCGAACGTTGTAAATATATCTATTAGCTACGACTGAACAACCTGGATACCATAGTGTATCGTTCAGTGGCATTTCTATGCTATATTTTACCACAGCATCTGTCATCGGACCCCACCTTGTCAATTGAAACACTTGCATTATTATTGATTCTAAAATTATACTTAAAACACAGTTTATTGTCATACGAGTATCTCGGAAAATATTATGAAATTGAAATAAATATTATATTGCATCATTACTTTTCTAAATTGAAGTATTGAGAGCAAAAGTGAACTTTTGTATTCTACGTTTGTTTACGAATTCTCCATATTACTTAAATAAATTGAATTTTTTGGGATACTGTAACAATGGAATTACATGTGTTAAAAAAGATTCGTAATAAATTTTACTTAAGAGGATTAGCGTTACTCGTGCAGTTGTAAACTTTAACTTTAAGATTATGATGTAGCGTGACATGCCATGCAGTACATATTATCGTGTCAACTACGAAATCGACAGGCACTACATCCAATCTTGCATCTTTCCTAGCCGGTATTGTTGTTGCACATCCTCTGCTCACCAGCAGAACAAGACCTGGTAACATTGGTTTAGAAATCATTTGTGAGTTTCGGTTATCAGAAATGTAGCACTAAATAGATTGGAATGAATTCTCATAATTGTGAACAGCAACAAACTTGAACTATAATACTGATGATCTGGTGGAAATCCTTTCATTTTAGATTAACAACAGATTAACTCCACTTTTCCGAAATGTGACGAGTATTGAACAGTTACTATTGAAAAATATCTATGGAAGCACCTGTAAATGCAGAGGTACCCTGTATCCAACCAGGACATGGTTCTTCCAAAGAGGCACCAACTATGCTTGGCCTCACTATCGCAACTGGCAGATCTTTATACTTGCTTGCTACAATCTGCTCTGCTAAATTCTTACTGAATGTATATGTGTTTGAATAAGTTTTTAAAATCCTCTTTTCCATTACGCTGATCGACGTTTTGTCGAATTTGTCACATATATCTATCACGTCTGAAGGTTTCAAGCTCGTGCTGCAAAGTCAATAACAAATGAACATATTCTTCGAACTATAATTACAAATATAATACTCGTAAACCGTGGAAGAACGTTTTCATATAACTTATTCTTACGTATAAACTTTTTCCTCAATCTCATGTAGATTCGCATTACTAAAAGCTGTGCTGACGTGGACGAAGCTAATCGGATGCTTTAGTTCGCTCCAAAGCTCGATGACACGAGCGGTACCTTTTGTATTCACATTAACAGCCACGTCTAACGGTTCGTTGAGTCTCACAGCCACGTCTAACGGTTCGTTGAATCTCACAGTGGCCGCGGAGTGAAACACTATGTTTACTTTCTCTAACAACAGATTTCTATCTTCTCGCGAAAGACCTAAATCTGGCAGACTCACGTCACCTTTCACGGGGTAAACTTTGCTCAAAACTGAGGGATGTTTCGCTTTAATGTTACCGTAAATCTGAAAACGAGAATTCCAGAAATGACAGCCAATCAATTTGGCTCCTGACAGGCTTAAACATTGAAGGAAACAAGTATTATATTTACGAACGGAATCATCTATAAGCTTCTTAAATCGTTGTTCTATCGTTTCGTTAGTTTTTGGGCGAATTAGTATAAAAATGGCAGCGATGCGTGGACACACGCGCATCAGTTTTTCCAGTAGAGCTACTCCCAGGAATCCGGTCGCTCCTGTCACAAGGATCCCACTACCAGCGTAGAATTCCTCGAGCGAATTCGTCTTATTCAATCCTTCATTGGTCCCATTTTCATTCGTTTCTTGATTGATTGTATCCATGTTTCAGGGTCTTCACACTTTCAGTTCTAATATTTGCCATACATTAGATTTTATAGATATTATATTTGCCATAGATTGCAGACAAACTGTATTTGGAAAAAGTAAAAGAATTATGTGACCCAACAGCCCAGAAGTTATGGAATCCGTAAATATTTAAAGGAACTGTCAATCACTCTTAATCTTAATCTTAGTTTATGTTGTTATTCGAAGAGATATTTGGACGCAGTATCTAAATAACTAACAAGTATAATTATAAGGAATGTAATAAATATAACAAGAAATATATTTTATCATGATGTAGAGTATTTTTCTTAGATTTAATAAAATAATTGCGTAAATACATACTCCCTCTACTACTACATCGTTCGTTTTATATGTAATTAATATTACTTATGTATACTTCACTTTGTTTACTAAAAACAAGTGAACTTACTATTTAAAAGGTAAAATGCATAAAATATATCGCACGGTTAATGTTGTCACCGCGAAGCGTATTACAATTTTCATGAACGCGAGACTCGAAGCAAATCCTAATAATAAGTGATGAAAACCCGTTCCTAAATACAATTTTTGCCAGAAAATAATGTCTCTCGTGCAAGTAGGTTACGAAGGCGAATGTTCCGATTACCTCTACTGACTGGTGATAAATTATTGCAAAATTAAAATAATGAGCCATTTTAGTGTGTAGAATGTAAAATACAAAATATTTGAATATTCAAAAACTTCATTTAAACTATTGTAGTAGTTAATGACCCGATGATATTTTTGATACATATGATATTGATAATAATCAAAGACATAAATGAAAGACACAATTGAATACAGAATAACAAGGAATCGCCTGTTACCTGATGCTATTTCCACCGCGTAATGTTTACCAAATATCGTACAAAAATGCGACTTAGCGATAGCAGATACCGATACGTTTGTCACAGTACTGTAACGATATTCGATGTGATACACTTCAAGATACTGTTCCTTTTAATAACATCACCCTACTACTGAAAGTGGATAATGTCATGCATGAATGATTCGATTAACGCTTTTTATCTCCAAAACCAAGGAAGAAAGAGTCTTGAATGGTCTTTAAACATGAAATATCGATCACAGCTGACTTTTTATCACTGATTGCTCATACATTTGCATTTTAATGACATTTTCATTGCACATAACGTTTTATAGGTTAAGCTGAAGGTGAAAATAATTGAATTGCAAACTCCATCTCATATAACGAACGATCTTTTTTGCTGAGGTAAAAAAAACACCAACACACAATCAGCGAAGAAGATATTCATACAGTACTTAACTATAACAAAAATTAGAATTATGATAGAACGTCGTTTAGTAGGATATTTTTAGCAAATGAAAAATATATACATATTCTTAAAATCTGCAAACAAATTTTCAAGAAAAGAAGAAGAAAAGGATTGGATACCAGCTCCTGTTGTGAAAATATTAATATCTAGCTAATGTTAAAAATTATATGTGTAACATATATTCGTGCAATTAGTGCTTCGTAGTACAAGATGTATTTGAAACGCAATTTCATCCTGATGTAAGCAAATCCAAAGCACAATACTACTAATACATTAGCGTGGGTTTTGTATCATGTTTGGAAACACGTAAGAGGAGTAAGAACACGTAAGAACAGAAATCATTTATAGAAGGCACTCTTTAAAAAATGGAAAAATAACTTAAATAGAGCACTCATCAATTTGATCAATTCAGTGTCACCATATTTGTAAGACATAAAGGAATCAAAAGAAAACTTTACTAGCAGGAAAAGTCGTGGTTGGGCAGACTCCGATTTTAATAAAACTTGAGACGTAAACGTAAAATTAGCAAATATAATGCACACCTATTGATGGTGGCACATAATTCCATTCTGGATTAAATCTTTCGCACTATTTTTTGCGGTTTTTCGAGAGTTCAATTCCTTTTTTTTTTATTTATTTGTTGAAATTACAATGAATTCTCGCGTTGAGAGTTTTCAGTAATTTTTCTGGCGTGGCGCAGTGAGATGGCTGTTTATTTACAATAAGTTAATACTTATTACAGATAGGTATAATTTATAAGTATTTTAAGTAAGTGCATATGCTTAGTTTGGATAACTAAATGAACCTGGCGTTTAGGTCTAGCGGGTAGTGCCTCTTCAGCCTGCGAATCTAGTCCGTCGTGTCAAGTAGTCCAGTAATTAGGGGGTTTCGGTGTTTGTTGACTCTTTTGTTATATCTGTCGCTGTATTTTGCTATTTCCTCCTTGACTGTGGGTATCTTGAGGTCGCGATGGATGGTTTCGTTGGTAACATACCAAGGTGCGTCTATTAAGGATCTTAGCGTTTTCGATTGGAAGCG